CAACCTCTGCGGACCTTGACCTGCTGACCCTGCTGCTGTCAAATATCAGACGCTACAGATAATCCAACAAGACGATGCTGTTAAAGTCAATCTCCTGTGGTACAGAGCAATGCAGGACTTCTGTTCCCAGTTTGTTGGACTATGTCACTATTTCCATGATGACATCATTGCTGCCTCTTCTCTCTGCAACCACCCGAGCTGCAGGGAGAAGAAAGACGACAGCAGCAGCTCAGTTCATATGAAAATGAGAGATGTCTTAATAAAGTCATCAACAGTAATTGGGTCAAGGCTTTACTCTGATTAAGGATTTCGAGTTTCTTTTATGAGCAGTCTGTTTCACAGCACCTAGACCTAATGTTACAATGCTGGAGTTGATCCCGAACCTCAATGCGTTTGTCACCGTGGTAGCATGGCTCTAATTTATGGACTTGTTTACATACTGCAACAGAAAAGTGCTTTGAGTCTTTCCAAAGTAGTTCAGGGAATGTGTTTGCAGCTGAGAGGATCTCTGACGTGTCGTCAAGCATCTCGACCGACTTTTATGTTGCCAAGTCCAGTGAAAACTGAGCGAGTCACAATTTAACCTCAGGCTTCGTTTCTGTCTCACTTCCTTTTATTTAGAAGTATTTGGCTTATTTATTTCTTATCCTAGCTAGGTATGTGGACAGGTAGGGTGGAACATATATTCCAGTAAATTAAGTCCAGCTAAAATTCATTGATCTTGTTTCTTCCTGCACACTCTGAGAAGCGATGTTGCTGTGGACAAGTTAGCTACAGTTCGAGTCCTTATGCTTCTTTACAGTTTGGTGAATCTGCACCATCAGAAGTCACGTGCACAAGCCGCAAGCAGTTCCCGTTCACACCGGAACTCATGATGTACAGATTACTAAATTACTTTTTTACTCAGGAAAATATCTGAACATGATGATTATACGTCAGAGATGCCACAATCGCCAAAAAGACTCAGTCACTGATTCTGTCAATATGTTGAGACATCTTTGGCTCTAAATGGACTCATGGATGAACATTGATGGAGAGGGTTTGAGCCAGTCAGGTTCAGTGTGTAACGCTGGTTATGTTTCATCTTATCCAGAGTAAAGCCTTAAACCCTGATTATTTTTCATATTGTGTTCAAAAACATTCAGCAAAATCATTAGCTATACAGATGACACCTCTGTTTTAGGCTGACCTTCTTCCTAAAGCAGCAGTTTTGATTATCAAACGGTTGAAACACAATGTAGATTGTAAATAAGTCTCTCTTGAAAACCATAACTTAGCTAGCTGAGACCTAGCTAAATGCAAATTTGTTGGCTAGCTAACTACACCAGCTTGCCTAATTTGACTGGATAACTTCAGCTTGCAGAGTCATATTCTATACAGCACCATCTCCATCTCCATCTGCTTATCCGAGACCGGGTCGCGGGGGCAGTAGTCTGAGCAGAGCCTCCCAGACTTCCCTCTCCCCACACACCTCCTCTAGCTCCTCAGGAGGAACCCCGGCCAGGCCAGCCGAGAGACATAGTCTCTCCAGCGTGTCCTGAGTCTGCCCCGAGGCCTTCTCCCAGAGGAACATGCCCGGAATACCTCCCCAGGGAGGTGTCCAGGGTGCATCCTAAACAGGTGCCCGAGCCACCTCAACTGGTTCTGCTCAATGTGGAGGAGCAGTGGCTCTACTCTGAGCTCCTCATGGGTGACTGAGCTCCACACCCTATCCCTAAGGGTGCACCCAGCCACTCTCCAGAGGAAACTCATTTCTACCGCCTGTATCCGCGATCTCATTCCTTCAGTCATGATCCAAAGTTCATGACCATAGGTGAGGGTAGTAACGTAAATCGACCGGTAAATTGAGAGCTTTGCCTTACGACTCAGCTCCTTCTTCACCACAATGGACCGGTACAGAGACCGCATTACTGCGGATGCTGCACCGATCCATCTGTCAACCGGCCACTCCATTTTTCCCTCACTCATGAACAAGACCCCAAGATACTTAAACTCCTCCACTTGAGGGAGCAACTCACCCCCAACCGGGAGAGAGTAGTCCACCTTTTTCAAATTGAGAACCATTGCATTATAATGCTATTCTTCAAGCTGCCACTAAGGACACTACTGCTGAAATCGCATTTCTTGTAGGTTTGCAGATTTAGTACTGGGGAGGCAACAGTGGTGCAGTGGGTAGAGCAGTCGTCTCCCAACCGGAAGGTTAAAGGTTTGAATCTCGGTGCTGGCAGTCCACGTGTCGAAGTGTCCTTGGGCAAGACACTGAACCCCCCCGTTGCCCGTAATGGCGGCGTGTATGCACGCAGTGGCCTGGGGCCCTCGGCTCTGAACATAATTTTGTTGTACGTGTCACAATGTTACAATGACAATAAATAAAGCTTCTTCTTACAGTTTTTTAAAATGTTCTTACTGATCATGCAATAAAGTGCAGTTTCCTACCTCGCTTCCTGTCTCTGTATATGAGAGCCAGTAGGACGGTGGAAAGCAGGTAAGGAGTTCCCACCACCAGGTGACGCATCAGCCTGAAGCCAGACACCGAACATGAGTGCGCGGGTGGAGGTGAGGATGAAGAGGGATGTGAAGCTGGAAAGATAAAAAGAACTGGGATGTGAACACAATGAAGAAACTTTAACATTTCAAAATGAGTTTGTTTCTTCATATACTGTACATTAAATTTCACCTCTGGAATAAAGAGTTTTGTTCAGGTATGGCCTTTTATGGCATCATTTATCTTATTCTTCTTTTAATTTAAAATCTATTGCACAATAAGACTGTAGACTAAAACAAGAACACAAATACAGATGTGTACAGCGGTTTTCCAAATACATGTTACAAAGTGACTGATACAGCATCAAACCAGATGTGTGACAAAACAGCTTAAAGATTCCCTCTAGAGTTTTCTTGTAAATAAACTGTTGTGTAATATGTTCTGTTTCTCACCAAAACCACTGTGTGTATACTTGAGGCCAAACAAAACTAGCAATAATAAATATTCCTCCTTAAAACCTTTATAATATTTGAGACCTGGTACAGAGTAGGACACATCTAAAGTGGGACGACTGACACCAAAGCTTTGCACAGTTATGGTCAGTGTGTTTAAAATACAGCTCTGATCAAAATACAGGCGTCCGACCCCAAACGCTGCTCAGTTTTTCATAGCTATGTTGCAGCTGCAAACAGTTTTCCTCACCTTCGACAGCCAGCAAGCTGCTCACTGACTCTCCACCTCCAGAGACGCTGCACTTGTAGAGTCCTTCATCAGACTTGGCAGCGCTGTGAATGGTCATCTCACCTGTGGAGCTGCTGCCGATGCGGTGGTCATCTTTATAGAAGTGATACACACTGTTGGAGGCCATCGTCTTAGGGCTGCAGCGCAGAGTCACAGCGTCGCCCTCTGACACAGGGAGTGTAGGACCTTCCAGGATTACAGTCCGGTCTTTAGAAAAGAAGGAAACTTGTTTGATGTTGTGCCTTTTTTCTTCTTCGAACAGAAAGTTAATTTATAGCACAGACCTACTTTGCAGTTGAAAAACTTCTCAGATCCGGATTCTGAAGTAAAACTAGGTCAAGTTAGACTCAAGACAGACTCAAGACAGGAAAACATTAAATTACTGGGCAGTACCAGTGATGGTGATGTTGACACTGTGGCTCTGCTCCCCGTCCACAGACTCGCACCAGTACACCCCGCTGTCCGATGGGTAGGTGTTCCCAATGATGCACTTTGAGCCCCAGGAAGAGGAGCCCCAACCGGAGGCACAGGGTCTGACCCCACCCTTCGACGTTTTCCTCTTCACCTGCCAACCGGTGGAGTTGGACTGATCCTCACAACTCAAAGAGATGGATTCATACATGAAGAACTGAGATCTGTCAGGGCTGACCCGAAGGCAGGCTGCAGGAGAGAAAGGAGGAAAGAAGGAAATAGGAAGGAAGGGAGAAAAGAGAGGGAGAGTTAAATAAATTAAACAAAAAAATGCAAAGAAGACAAAGAAGCACACAGACGACCAATAGAATAAAGGAAAATAAACACATGAAAGTAAAGCCAGTAAGAGAAGAATGGAATTAACAATAAAAAGACATGAAGAAAGTAGAAAAGCAAAAGTGTAGGACAGGATGGGATGAAGACAAAATAAAGCAAAGAAATAAGACTGAGAACATGAGGACGACATCAGTATAAACCAAAAAGACATTAAACACTGTTCAGTGACTTCAAACCCAAGGGACTAAAATGTCTGTCAGCAGGAGGCTGAGCAGCCTCACACACTGAAGACGTTTGTACTCACACAGCATCAGGCAGAACGGTGTTAACTGCATCCTGTCCCGCTGTCAACTGACACACAGAGACGCTGGTCTCTGAACTTCCTGCCTGAAAACTCCACCCTCACCTCCTCAGTCTCTGTCGGGAGTCATGGTACCCGCTGGGGAGAAACACCTCAAGGCCGTCTGCAAAATGCATTGCACTTAAACATCCTGCATTGTGATCACTGACCACATGGGGGCAGTGCAACAAATAGTTAACACACAGCATCATGCCTGTGTGGAGCAACACCATCATCCGTTTGGAGTCAGGTTTGTATCACCTGACTGACTCAGGTGTTTTTGGTCTCCACTAACTCCCGAGGAAATTATCAGGCTATCTAAACACCAATTAAATGCTCTGGTGTGTTCAGCAACCAGCTGCTAACGGTGAAGTTATGTGGATGACAGCAGTGGGCAGACCCAGTAAAGCTGTGGACTGTTAAACCAAGTCAGTGAACTGGAAGAGGCAAAACGTCCCCATAAACCTGGGAACTGATGTTTGGAGTGATATTTGTTTGAGTTTGTCGTTATGAGCTACTCCTAAAACTCTGAGGTCAAAACACAAGCAAATACAAACAGTGCAAAGTCGTACTCCTTCCTCCAGAGGGCGCTCTTTATCTGTTTCCAGGCATTAGACCAGTGTATGAATGAAGGCAACTGAGGCTAAACAAATAGCTTTATTTCATTTCACAAAGTAGTGAACAAAATACCAACTTATAAAACAAAAATGTCACTTTAATTACAATGACTAGAAACAAGTATTAATTCATCATAAATACAAAAACGTTTTAAATTAAGAAACCCCAATGTACAACCCCAGGAATCACAGCTTGTAGTAATATGTTACAATATGTACATTGTGCAGAGCATCTGTAGAAATGTGCAAACAGCAGGAAAACTCCTGCAGATGTGCAGTGAGCAGATAAGGTACGTAGTGAAATAACAAAGCCTTTCATTCACACAACAGACTTTCACAGAAAACAAAAGAAATTTAATTTTAAAGTGACAAATTTAACACTGACCCCAGGTTATTTCAAAGATCAAAAGGTTAACATCTGGATTCTCGAAGATGTGAACTCAGTCTCTCTAAGAATCCAAGCTAAAGTTGGTAAGTACATACCGGCTAAGTGCCACAAGGCCAGCACCGGTGCAAGTCTGTGGCGGCTCAGTGAGCAGCTCTGAAGTGAATCAATCCTGGAGCTAATAAACAACATGCTGCATTTTAAATCACTTCTTCTTGTATTTGTTGTTTGATTGTGTAATGTCTTTTAAATAAACAGCATAAAAAGGCCGGAGCTCTGTTGCCGCCCACCCCCATGACCCTCTTCAGGAATAAGCCCTATAGATAATGGATGGGTGCCTTCGGATTACCCAAGCACGTTAGAAGACTAACCGGGACGAATGAGACAGAATGTTTTACAATACCGTGTAGAAAAAGTTTAAAATGATCAGTTCAGCTAAATCACAATCAACCATGTATCCCAGTTATGTTAGTGGGAGTCCTCTGAGGACTGGTCCGGCTCAGACTCATCAGGTACATCTACCAGGACACTGTACTGGTTATCAAAGTGTGGTGACATACACCCTGAGGAGCGCTTACGCTGAAGCTTGGCGTGGACTGGATCAGGATCAGCATAAGACGTGTTTATAAAACCACTGACACTACATCGATTTCTTTTTGAGGTGCTGGCTGAAGAACTCAAGGACGTTGCAGTGTTGGCACAGAGCATAGGTGGACTGCTGTTTCTACGACGAATTCTTTGGATGCCAGGGTTCGGACCCTCGTTGCGGGGTACGGTGGCAGATGTTGGATGGTTGTCAGCTGAGATTGTTGAGTTTGGGATGTGGTCATTGGTTGAGGTGGTGGATTTGAACACATCCGGTGACAATTTGGAAGGAAGCGTTGGCTGGTTGTGCTGGACGGGGCCTGGCTGAGACCTGAAACTGTTCTTGTTCTTTTCACGAAGCTTTGACTTGAGCTCATCCACCTGTTTTTCCAGCTCCTCAACTTTGCTGTTTGCCTTGTTGTCAGCCACATCTTCCCGTTTCATGAGCAGTTGACTTTCAAAGGTATGTCTCTCTGTACTGTCCCTCAACTCCTCCCTACTCATTGACTGTTTTTGTCCTGCTGCTGTAGGAACACAGAAAAATATGTCCCATTAGTAACGCTGACATTTACTAAGGGTCAACCGAGTTACACCTTGGCTCTCAACCGAGTTACACCTTGGCTCTAGGTTTTCATGGATTCAGCCACACCTTATGAAAACATTGGTCTCACAAAGACCTGGGAATGTGGCAACGTCACGAAAAAGAAGTCAGGACAAGAAATGAGCAGTGAGATGGTCAGACTTGTGTTATTCAAAGCTCCAGGTTGGCCATTTGAAAGCAAACAAACTATCAAGCCCTGTGATGGACTCTGCTTTCATATGTCTGAAAACAACATCCCTAGACCATCTAGGGATGTCGTTTTCATCATCTTCCCAGGTCCACAGACAGAGTTTTGGTTTACACAAGGTGTGGACTGTCCGCTGAACAAAAAGCCGACTGTGCACATACAACAATTCATGGCACAGCATACGCAGACAGAAGGCTGATCCTCGATCTGAAGTATAAATAGGAACACGTGTGTGTCCCTTGTCCATGTACACACAAGTACACAGTGTAGTACGTCCAGGTCTGGGTTCATGTTAACAGACAACACCGTCCTCTGCTATGAGGAGATTAGGGATGAATGCGTTCCGGAGCCAGCAGCCACTTTGTTCACTTGTTTCAGTGACTTCTTTTGAACCGTGCTTTCACAAAGTGGTACCTGCTCAGTGTGAACGTACAACCAAGGCGTTCAGCAGCTTTTTGAGCTGTTAGAGTTGTGTCACCTTTCTATGACAAATACGACTTACCACATTTGTCACACATCTTAAATAAGAAGCCAACCAATCCACACGCTAGAGCTAGAACCACAACGGTCCCAACAGTGACTTCGGTGATGAGAGAGCAGGACCTCATGTAGTCAGCTGAAATGACAAACACTGTGTTGACAAATCTGGTATTTCATGAACACTGCTGCATATACAGGACACCACAATGACACTCGTGTTTTCAGGAAAGAGCAAAAACTCCTGCTACAGAAAACAACCAACATGTGGATGGCCGAGTCAGCGAACCCGGCTGGTACAGGTGTGCTGGTGGAGCCGCGGCCTACCTGGTATGAGAATCTCTCTGCTTGTGGTCCGGTTCGAGTCTGGCCAGTGAACTCTGCAGGTGATCCTGAGGGGAGGGACGTTAGAGCTTCAGGTTAGTTTATAAACCATACGCTGACTGTTTTCTAATGAAGGAACAGTGATGAAGCTGAGGATTCGCTGTGTGCACTGAGGTAAATATAACTGTTTAATGAAAAGTTTCCTTTTCACCTATTTGACACATTCAACCTCCATCTGTGATTCCATGGACATGTCCTGACTGATATCACACTGCTGCGCTGGCTTCATGTGAAGTTTATGTTTTTAACCTGCACATCTTTAACCGTTCGAGACTCTTATTGCTGGAAAATGATGTTCTTTCCTACAGGGCAGTGTTGGTTTCCATGTTTCTGGATAAGATTTTGGGACTTGATGGCAACTACAAGCCAAAGAAATGGGACTCGGGACACACTCTAAGCCTCTTGGTTATTTTGTCGTGGCTCTATCAAACAAATGCCCACTTCAGTTTACAGACAATACTGGCTTTGGGTTGAGTAATGAGGTGCACTGGAACCTGCTGGTGGCGGTCTGGAGAGCCATCCTCTGTTTCACGATGCACCATCCCCTGGCATCTTGATCTCTTTTGGGTCATTCGGGCACCGAGCATTTGACCTCGCACTGCAGCGTCACCCGTCCACCCTCAGCCGACACCACTGACAGTCTGGGCTCAGAAACCGCATCTGTAATACAAGTATTACTCAGAGCGCGGCATCTCAATGGCCAGTCCAGGTTTCTGTCATAACGTATTCCGTTCTGGTAATTTACTGTTAATGTGGTCAGTAGGCCAGTTAAACCTCACACTATACAGGTTGACACAAGGTGCAAACAGGTATCAAGAAGAGTTAATTAACAACTGAAGCCTGTGGTTTCACACCCAGCTGGCTGTAAACGTGGCACTCGAGGCTGTAAATTTACCTCTGACGTTACTGGCAGCAACAGCATTAAATAGGTGAATCACTGGAGCTAAAAACAGAACCATATGCAACCTTTTCCCAGGTAATCAGATCTTTAATGCTCAGCTGTGATCCACACCCTGTAATTCCAAAAATGGCAAGACTGCAACTGACATCATCATCTAATAATGTCAATTAATTCAGAAACTATTTATAGATTAAACCTATAAATAGTTTCTGAATTAATTGATTGCTTAATCTTTAAATTGCTACACTGGCCTATGACCAAACACTCAGACCCCTGAAGCTGTCTTAGACCCAACTCCATGAGCAAAACTGTGATGCACCAGTAACGTCTGTGTATACAAACACCTGACTGGACGTACCCACAGCGAGCTCCACCACCGTGATGTCCTTGTGCGAGTTCTTCCAGAGCCGCATGCACTGGTACTGCCCTGCATCCGACAGCTGCACGTCGGAGATCCTTAGTGAGACGTCTCCATTCTTCAGATCTTTTGCGATGAGGCTTGTCCTGAACTCATAGGCCGGATTCTTCATCTCATACGTCTCGCAGCCATCCCGGTACAGGAAGATGATGTTCGAGCGCAGGTCTTTCTTGGACCACTCCACTGTTGGAAAATAGCTGCTGGCGGTGATGTTGAAGCTGCAGGGCAGAACGACGTACCCACCAGCCAAGGCCAGGACCTTCTCCGGTGCACCACGCACTGAGAACCAACCTAGGGAAGAGAAGGTCCAACAACATAGGTGCACATCATGTCACACTGGAAGGTGTTTCTGCTTTGTATTTAGTCGTCCCTCAGTGGGATTAATGTGATGGGCCAAGCATTTGAAACACTCCTGAGTACAGAGCAGTCCAAGTCCTCAACAAGATAAAGTCTCTAAAACAGCCTGTGACGTCAGGCTGAAATACCAATATGCAGTTTGGCTGTACAGCCAGAAACACATGCGCATGCACGTGGAGCACTTGCTGGGTTAGTTACACCAGCTGGCTGAGATAACACAATCCTGTACTTTCCCCGCTCTGACATGGGTGTGAACTTCACTGTTTGTGTGACTATGACGTCACTCCTCCTCCTGCCCTCGGGCACGTGGCCAGCTGGGGCTCTGAAGGGGATTACTGCGAGTCCCCGTGACTCCCTTTTTTGGAACTAGCACAAAACTGACAGGCAATGCCCAGTCACCATGACAAGAGGAGCTGCAGGAGAAAGTCGACTTGAAAACCAAAAGAGAACCACGTGCAGCCTCTGGCCGCCAGCCAGCAGCTTTAATACGATCTGATCAGTGGAAAGTTACACCGTGCGCCAGTTGTGCAACGGCCCTGTGGGTAGCTCCTGATCACTACTGGTCTTGTGACCACAGGAACCAGGGTTTTTAATTTCACAACAGTTGGAGTGAATTGAAAAACATGTACATTAACATCGGTTCCCATCGTGTCAGGAAATATTCAGACATGTTAACAAAACACATGAGTCCACCAGCTTTCACTGTCCACCACAGTGATTTACCTGTCTCACTGCAACCTTCAGAGACAGTCAAGCTCCGTCCCCACTTCTTATCAGACCTCATTCTGGATCTTTTTTCAAACTTTTTGTCCTAAATCCTGAGGTAAAGGGCAACAGAGAACTAGTGTTGTTTTAACTCGTTAAAATGAGACAACAGCAGTTTAGCTCAGTGGGTTTCTCCCTGTTTTACTGTTAAGTCAAATCTTCTGACTGGGTCCAAAATAAATTAGTCTGACACGCTGCAGCCTGCAAGTGCGCGCACACACACTGCCACTTTATCCACCACATGTAGTTCACAGGTGTAGACAAACATTGTGCTGCATTTAAAAGGACGATTAAAACAACACACATACCTGTACAACAAACCACCAGTGCGGAAACCAGGAAAAGACGATAACACATCCCAAAATGCAAAGTTGGGTTTCATCTGCTGCAGAAAAGAGAGAAATAATGGACTGAGGGTTTGTGGAAAGTTCCACCTCCGTGCGCTACTGTACACACGGGCAGTGTCGTAAGAAGCGGTCCGGAGCACGGCTCCATTCATACTGACAACGTGCGACGTTCACGGCCACTGGGAAAGGCGATGATTGGATTCTTCCCACCTGAACGCACAACTAGTTAACCTATGGTTGAAGTGATAAATGCCACAGCTCAACACAACACGCAGCACAGTGTGATAGTGGGGAAAAGGCGTAAAACACACAACAAATCACCGTCCCCATGAAGAACCTGCCGTTCTGCTGCATCAAGAAGTAAAATAAAAACACTGGTTATTCAAATACTTTAACTCGCTGTAAACATCTTCCTGTTAATTAACGTCAGAAAACTTGCAAAGTCAGATTTAAAATGTTTTATTTACCGTTTGTTTTTTTATATTGTTTGACTTTCACAGCTCCTGAATCGGCCTTGAACATATCACAGGGCAAATCGCGGTCATGCGCTTCACGCACACCGTAACACCAAACCCTACTGTACCAACAGTGACCGAGGCTGATAAAGAGAAAAGCGACAGGTTGACTTCTGATAAAACCCGTGAGCCGTTTCTTTATCAGTCTCTGTCGACACCTGAAAGAACAACGACACTTAAAGTCAACTTTCACTACCTGTAACATTCATTTACAGCCAGTAGTGACCGGACAGTGCGCTTCTCTTCGGCTACAGGATGCAAATGATCAATACATCATCTCCATCAGTTCCAGTGAGCAGTCCAACACTGAAGACGGAGAAAGCAGCTTCTGCCAGATGCAGAAACCTGTGTAGGTCATGGCTCAGCGTGTGTGTGTGTGCACAAAGACGAAGTGAGCGCACGGAGCCACGCGTACTGCACGTCTGGTTCGGGTGTATATATCCAGGCCATTAATGCACTACTCGCATCCAGCAGCTATTAGACACAGAGAAAGCAACGAGCAAGATGAAGTGCGGCTTGATGACTGGACAGGTGGCGAAGAGGAGGGTCGCGGTATTTGGCCTCAGCTCAGGGACGAAGAAGAGGGGGTCGGATTATAGCGAGAGGCAGAAACGCGCACAAAGAGAGCAGGGGGGCAGCAGGAGGACCGGCACACAGCTTTACGAGGAAAATATATTATGAACAGTAATATCAGCAGTTTGTAGAATAAATGACAAGAAAGTCTAAATTGGAAAAGACCTGGAATACACAGCCATAACATTATGACCACCTGCCTAACACTGTTTACATAGGAGTCCATGTGGCAGTTGGTCGTGTCTCTCTGCAGCTCACTGTGCATCGTCTGTGAATCCATCTGCTTCCTCTACTGTCAGGAAGAGCACAGATGTGTCTACAATTCAGTACAAAACCTTTGTAAAAGGAGTGAAAACTGGTCGTGAGGACCAGTTAGAGAGAAATCCAACAGCCTCACCGCTCTAGGTGCGATATCACCACTACAGCCCCCGACTCTTTCTCTTCATACAGACCAATGGACAGTGTTTTTCATTTTCAACCATTTTAACAAAGATTCAAATCAATTTTAATCTTTTGACCAGTACAAATGGAAGTTAAAGCTTTAATCCACAGTAGATCAACCTCATCATCAGTGAGCCGTGGGCCTCCATCTGTTAGGGTGATTTTCATTTTTAGATAGAAATATATAATTAGTTAGGGTTTTATTATATAGCATACATAAGTTTATATATTTTACTCTCACAGTTGTGTTTATGTTTATGTAGTTACATATCACCTTAAGTCTGCATTGAATCACTGGTCAGTATTTTCTGTGTAAGCCAACTAGAGTACTGTTTAACATCAAAGAGACTGGTTCACTACAACACTGAAAACTTATTAGATTTACAGCTTTAGCAAAGAGGGTCCACAGTTGTTTTATGATCACCACCTGGCTGATGGGATGGGGTAACTAGAAGTTTATTGGGGTTTTTAGGAGAGCAGGAACAGAGATTAAATCTAAAGCAGGAAGAGAGACCAGCTTCAAAAGACAGGGTAATATACACTCA